ACGGACGCAAAGGTGGTGCCGCAAAAGCACCCAGCTCAACTACATAGCATTCGGCTTCTGAATAGTAGTACGTTTATACTTCGCGAACCGATCGCGAATGATCGTATAATAAAGCAATTCGAGTCTCAACTCATCTGAAAATGATCCCATCACCAATCAGTGATGTGGAAGCAGTTTCGTTTCGTTGCCTTTTTTGTAGGAGTTCAAACCAAAGCTGATTTTTTCTATTGCCTCGGTTGACGTGTGCCCTGAGGCGACGGAACTCCGCAACTTGGTGCAATAGCTCGTTGGATCACGGTGAACGCGACATTGCACAAGAAATTTTCACGTGCATTAGTTTAGCTACTACGCTATTTCTCTCTTTTCCTGATTGTCCTGTTGCACATTGCTGGAAAGAGCGAAGAAAAGCAATGAACCGCAGGAAACTCCCCGTATCACGACGGCTTCACGTGGAAAAACCAATTGATAACAGGATGCAGCGCAGGAGCGCATGCTCAAGCTCGCGCTCACCTTCGAGGATAACGGTAGCATCCGATACTTCGTGAAAAAATACCTGGGTTCATAGTTTACGCCGGTGTGAATATCAATTTGTCATTCCATCTCTTCATTCTCTATTTCATCGATCAATCGATTTATGGATTTATTCATGAATTTGTGTGTTAACTCTCTAGTTTTGTTTTGAGTACGAGAAAAATTCTTCAGAGCCGTGTTACATGCCAACATCGTCCGTCAATTCTTCACTGTCGAAATGTCCGGAGAAGCGTCAGGAGGTAAGAAATAATCAGCAATTGTTTGATGATGAGTTTCATGTTAATTTCGCTGCCCGATCGATACTAATTATCGATTTCGTTTGTATTTTCAGTTAACAGCGGATCAAGTATTCCTTCTTTATCGAAAAGGTGTGACTGAACAACGAAAAGGCAATTTCTCTCTGGCTTTACATTGCCTCCAACCGCTAATCCCGTTTTTCTGCAACACACCATTGATATGGGTTCGAATTATCGAGATTGGCATTCGACTTTTGTACTATAGAGTGGGTTCGTTAACTTGCGTTATGTATTACACAGTTTGGTTCTCTTTTTTTACAATCTATTTATTTATTTAGTTGCTTACATAAAAGAATGCACTGAAGGTGCGCCATTTACAAAAGAGAGTAAAAAAATATCGTCCATGATGTATTTTGAACCGATGGTCCTCCTTACTGTGAAGTGTAAAACAAGTAATATCAGGATGGAGGGTTACCAGTAATTAAGCTAACTGGTTTTGTGATGGGGAAATTTGAATAACGGCCAGCACACCTTGTTCTTCATGCTTTATTTTATTTTTCATGGTTGTGCTTTGTTCCTTTCATTCTGAATAATTTGCACATCTGGCTTGTCCTGAGAAC